CAGTACTCGTATTCGGTGGTAACATAAAATTTTCAACCGGACAGTGACTCGAGAACGTTTAGATACAGTCGAATTTCCACCATAGACGAGCTGCTGTATAAGTCGAAAAAAATAAGTATAGACAGAGTAGGAATAAAAGAGGGTGAATAATGACGTAGTAAATAATAATAATAATAATAATAATAATAATAATAATAATAATAACAAAAATAATAATAATAATTGAATCATTTGAATGTTCGTCGAAGCGAGAGAAGTAGTTTCCATGATCATAGACAGTCCAGTTCATTAATTGCGTGTGGGCTGCGATACTGCCCGGGTGCCCAGACCGAAGCAGGTGGTTATCTTAAGGGGCCACTCCCCGAGTCTTCGACCTAAAGGTCTAACCCACAAGGCAGTGGGGCATCGTAAGGAGATGCAGTCCCATGGTAACCGGTGACCGAAAATTGGTTCATACGCCATTTGTTCCCGCAGGATACTGGTGCCCATGTGCATCATAGATTTGGAATCCGGTTAAAGCGCCGGACATTCGCTTTTCGTCCTCTCATTTTTGTAAACAACACCCCCGCCATGAGAAGGCAGTGAGTAGGACTTCCCTGACAGAGGCCTTTATGCGCGCGGCCGCGTGAGAGTATTTCGAGAGGGAGGGCGAACCCACCCCACTCTCGGCCATACCAGGGCATTTGGTGGCGTATGTCATTGAACAAAGTTTTCGTCCACTAACTTTCATAGGTGTTTATTACATCGCTTGTACATCCAGAGAACATACTTTAAAGATATCACTCACATCATTTGTGCCATTCATATTATATTCATATAGATGGGATCATCAGCATCGCAATCTAGAATTAGAGCACTTTGGATCGAATTAGTCATAAAGGTCAGAAACAATGAATTTGTAAATTTCTGTGGCTATAATGTTCGATAACGGTTAGTCTGTTGCTTCATGATTATTTATAGAGGATATTCATAGGTTACTAGTGTTCAATCTTAGTTGTCTGTGAAGCATATGTCGTATATTTTGGGCTGACCGAGTAAGTTATGCTTAGGTTAGGAATATGGTACTAGGCAAAAACGGCAAATCGATTGATAATATAGTAAATCTTCATCAGCTGAGGTGGTTGTGACATGTGTTACATATGGCCAACCACTGACTCTTGACGGGCGATGTTGTCTGGATAGGAGTAGGCTGGAAGTAAGCTAGGGGTGGTCAAACCAAAACATGGCACCAGTCCATGAAGTCATCAACAATAGGACTGAAGTATGCTAATGGGTGAAGACTATCTGGTTGGGGTCTGTATGAATATCGTTACCGATGGTTAGAGACTTTGAATGTCATGGCTGAAAACCACTTGCAAAGGCTTAGCTATATCCACTATTTGTCTTTCTCTATATTCTGAGCTCTTGAATTCCTCATAACTTTTCTTGTGCCTTCATTCGACTAATTTATATTCTCTCGAATAGTATCTTCGATGCCTAATCTTTCATATTATCACTGATATTGTTACTACCTCTACTGTTCTGGGATTCTGCCCGAGAATTTCATCTTGGTATACTAATGTGGTCTGGCAATTTGAACCGAGGTACAGAAGTACCAGGTCCTACGTTGCGACTGACTGACTGAACAGTTGTAAAATTTTCGAAACATTTTCTCTATTAAGTGTTGATCATGGTGGTGTATTGTTGCTGATGACGAGGTTTAACTAAAACAAAACAAAAGTTCATTATTATTCATGAATAGAATTGAATATAAGTTTTTAAATACAAAGGCTTACAATTCTATGGTTTACTTAAGTTATCAGTGTGGTTCAAGCTGTTCGTGACAAACATATTAAACTAATACATCATATTCGTAATATTTGACCCATAAACCCATACCATTTAAAGATTGAGTGATCACTACATATTTTATATCTTACATATCAATAAAAGTTGATAATTTTAAGAGAAGAGATATTTAAACAATGTGGTTTGAATCGATTTCCATATGATGCGTCAGTTTTTGCTACTGAAGAGCCTATTATTAGTCTGATGTATTAGTCAAAAAATATGAAGTTGGATTGTTTGTTAACTTATTAATACGTCATTAAATAGTCATGTTTCTACTGACATAATGTTATATGACTAATTTTCTTTATCCATTGCTTCACTATGATAGTGGAATCAAGAAGACTCAGCTAACTGTGCAACATTTGAATGTAAAAATTGTCCTGTTCGTTAGTTTTATCATGACAGCTCGAAAAAAGTTATGGGCGTTCATTTCGTTCCCTCTAAAGATTTGTCAAAGGAATTCAATTGTACTTGATGTTTTCATTGGGATCCAAACCCTGTGCAAACAAATTACTATACAACGGATAGTTCCCCAAAGGATGTGATTCTTGTAAAGGTCCTTTTACGACAATTTACATCACTAATTGACTTAAACCAGTCAATCACCGAAAGTAAGAGAATAACAGAGGTTTGTTTTATCTTAGCATCTGACTTGTGAACTCATGATCTCCACAAGGATCAGACTTATAACTTTCAGCTCTCGAGGCAAGTAATCTACCTCTAGACCTCTGATTCAACACTCAGTGGTCCTCGAGACTTGAAATTCCTCGGTTCAATTCCCTATTGGATCTAGAACACCACACTAGAAGGGAATAAATATCCAGTACTTTCTGGTACTCCATAGTTTTCTTCCACCAAAGCTAGTTCGTAATATAAACTACTTTTAGTGATCGTCAGTATAGGGTTGTGGAGATTATTGAATTTCATTGTAATCACGAACCGAGAAATGTTGGACAACCACTAAAAGCCTGGAAGGACTGGATGGACATTTCGTTTTAGTATGGGACTCCTCGACAGTACGTATCCACCACCTTACATCCGGGAATAAGGCACAGGACCATCACTCACGCACTAACACTTGACTACTAGACCAGTGAGCCAAGATTCAATGGTGCACAAATCTAACTTGAATCAGTCTAGTATTTCGATTATTTTGTACGCACTGATTGATCTGATCAGTGAATTTTCCGATTGCTGCCGTTGAAATGTAAATTGTGTTAAAATTGACCAAAGCACTACAAATAAATCTCTATTACTTTCATTTTCATAAAACAAGATGATTTGAGATAAATGTGAATAAACCATAAAATACTACAGTCGTTCAGTAATATAGTAATAATAAACATAGAATGTGTGTGAAAATACGTATATGCAGATCCTTTCTGTAAACGATGAGCTTTACATAATTGATTCTTTACAGTTCCTTTGTGTTTAAAGCCAGATGGATTCTAATACAAATTCTCTTATCTCTACTTCGATCACTGATCCTATGAAGTTTTTACATTGTATGTAAATTTGCTTTGTCAAATGTTCTTAATTTTATTAGTTTCGAGAATCTGGTTTATTATCTTGTTAACATACTGTATCCATAAACTATTTAGCAATGTAGCTGAACTTGGGTAAAGTTCGACTCACATCTCAAAGTGCCCAAGGGATAGTGTAACTTATTTCACAAATTAATGTGGGCGACTAGGCAGAGATCGGGCAAGTCCCCCACTCCATCGTGAATATGGACTACCTGAAAGGAGATTGAGGTATGGACCTGTTTGAAATGAAGGACTGGAGAAAAAAATCGATTCTTTTTATTGCCTAATTAAATTTTTTCCGGAAGGGTCGACAAAGACCATAAACTATACCTTGAACAGTGTACACAGGTTGACATTAAACGTACTTGCATGAAGGAGGTAACCATCAACTTACAACTCGACCTTTAGGTAACAAAACCAAGTCGCAAATATACTTAAGTGTATACTGTGGATGTAGAGACCTTGGTCTATACATTCGCTATATGTGTGTAACATATACTTGGGATTGCGCACATCTATTCCTGTGTGTACTGTGAAGTGTACATGTCTCCGACTTGTGCATTATATATCTACATGTAGTATTCGATTGCGACGTTATCCATGCTCTATACTGGTGTATACATGATAACTCTCAGTACTTTTGGGTTGTTACAAAGTTTCTGAATAGGAAATGTAACTGTACAGAAGTGGACAGCTAACGTGTCCGTTTGCTTCACACAAAATATAACTGAATCAAAGTCTCTACTTACACACAAGCTGTACCAAAGTAAACTGCTAACATTTTCGTTTGTTTTACTTTCTCCAGCACTTTAGTCTCACACATCTTTACAAAAGCTTTTTCTTTTCCTAAAGTGCAGGTTGGCTTTTCTACTTAGTTGGCGGGGTTAAACAAACCAAAACTGTCCATAAACTATTTAACAGTGCAGTTAAACTGGAAGAAGGCCTACAGCTAATCTAACAAAATGCTAATTATATTGTGTTGTTCAACTTAAATGGAATATAGTAGTAAAGAACCTTTTTTTTAAATAATTTCCAAATTTAGTGCTACAAAACAGCAGTCCATCATGCCTTTTATAAACGATAACTGTTATCTAAAGAACACTACGTCGAAATTGCTTAATTTTTTTGGTCTACTTTTAATTCTCAGACAGATTGGCATTTTCATATTACGTACCGTGTGAGAGAGAAAGAGTATTTAATGTGTCCTGTTTCGCTTTCATCTTTGGATTTACCTGTATTAACTGATATAAGGACATATCAATATTCATTTTCACTTTATTCTTTTGCTTCGAAATAGCACTTTGACGACCCCAGTAGGAATCGATCCCAGGGAAAACAATGTACCACATAGTTGAAAACCGACCGTTCATATTTATAATTTTAGTTAATTCACAGTATAGCTTAACCAATGTTATGATTGAGACTTCTCTGCCCTACTAAATCTTCGGGAGTTTTATTTTTAAATTTAGTTACTAAAATATACGTACATAATCATAATTATTAACAAGATTAGGATTTCTGTAGTATCTTCAATTAAAGCTTCGTTTTCAACATAATCACTTTTAATTTATAGCAAATCTTACAAAGGTACGATTATAGCATAATCTCATTCATTATCCAGTTTATGGATTTAAAACAAAAAGGGAAGGTAAAAAACGTTTACTTTATTTAAAATAGGGTATACATATATGTCTACATATTATATATAGGCGAAATAATTAAACTGTGTTAATCAAATAAATTTATGAGATAATATATAAATATACTAATTACAAGTGTGTTTGCATTTGATTTCGACTAATATTTACACTATCCGAGGATACAATAAAGAATTCATCAAATGATTGCAATTCATCTTTTGGTATATAATCTGGATTGTGAGGATCATAACCGTTTTGTTTATCTTTATGAAAGAAATCAATATTTCGCCAAACTGCTATAGCGTTCACAGTTATTAAAATGAGAAATACAATGAGCCACTAAAAGTGATAGTAAAAATAAAAATAAAACAATCAAAACAGTTCATGTTATTAATTTGTTTAAAATATATTAGTAATTTCTACAGATATTTGTATATTTTAAAGTTAGATTCTATCATTAACTGCTATTAAAAGAGAAATTTTTCAACAGTAGAGAGTAGTTGAAACATCATTGAAAAAACAGAATACTAGGTAGCTGTTTAAGCCTTAGAATTTTTAGCTTGTGTAGGAGTAAGTTGAAAGAAAACTAGGGATGAATATGGCGAAATTTGGAATCAGTTCGTGAAATCATTACCAGTTGTTATGAGCCTTGTTAGTAGATACAGACTACTTATTTGGGGCCCTATATGATGATACCTATCAGTAGTTAGAGATGCTGGATGTTTTCGCTAAGAATCAGTCACGTTGGCCCAGATGCATTTATTTGTCCTGCTCTAAATCTTGGATTTCAGTATTCCGTCATATATATATATTCCTTATCTTATCGAAACATATTTTAAATCTTTCGCATTATTGTTGCCGCTACGTTATTTCGATTTCTTTGTTATTTATCTTAATAATTCCATCTCGTCGTGCTAATGTAGCATGAAAACTTAGGCAAACACATATTTACCAAAGTCCACGTTGATTATGATTGAGTAATCCTAGCAATGTGCGCATATGATTTCATGCACTAGTAAACCTAACACCAAGTTTTCCAACTTTTATGAGTTAGAGTTGAGTGGATCACATGTCGAAATTCAATCAGTTTGTGGCAAAGCTCATTATCAGTGATCCAACATTTTCCTTCCGAATTACCAATGGAAAGTGTGTTGCTCAAGTTATTTGGGTATTTTAAAGCATTCTCAGGTTTGCAACAGTTCTCACTGTTATGCTAAGTTCATGATGAAAGTTAATAATAAACAATGTCATCACTTTTAATAAAAATTTCATTTCTAAAGAAAATTCAAAACAGAATTTCGAAACAGTGTCTGTTTTACCTCAAGTAATGTAGTAGTCATTGAATCCAAAGTAAGTTGATACCATTTAGGATTAGATTTTATCAAATCATATGCCCACCAAATTATCAATCCGGTTCCGGATAAAGGTACCAAAACACTGTTGATTAGAAACAAATTAAAGGCTTCGTTATGAAAAGTTAGATTTTCAAAATAACAACCAATTTAAGGAGTATGTTTGCATGATAATTCGAAATCCAGATGTGTTTTTATGTTATAGTGTACATTTAAGTGAAATGGTATAGTTGATTTGCAAAACAATTTATGAAGTCCCTTTATCATATTATTGTAATAAATCTAAAGTTACCAATAGATCTTTTCAGTTCCTACTGTATAGCAAAATTTTTATGAAAGCTTAAGATTGTGATTTAAAAATAGGAATAGCATGTTCAGTGAGAAATGTAGTTAAGATCGGGTTATAACGCTTTGTAATAGTTTATTATCTTGTTGTTCTCATGTTAGCACCAGAAAATACATTTTCATTTCATAGTCTTGATTTGACTCATACTATTTTGACTATGATTATCGTCAAAAACTGACATCAGCCGAGAAACCAAATATTCTGTCCTATTTGAAGACACCTTATCAATCTGCGTCTACGATCCTAACACGCATATTTAGTTGCAAGGATCTTAATTACTGTAATGAGCACGATATCTTCAAATAATTGAGTTGAGATTCATTCAGTTGATTCTTAGTGTAATAAAATACCATGGACTATATACTTATTAGTTCCAAGATATAGCCCTTTTATGAATGACTTCATGGACTGATGATGTTTATTCGCATAAGCATTCTCGTTCTTTTATTCTATTTCAATGTTAACCACTGTTGCTCCTCCATGTACTCAGTGACTAAATATACATCAAATTGAAATATACATTTATCAACTGTACTTTAGTTTGTTATAGTTTTATCACCAGTTGAAATAAGCTTTAATTTATAAAGTATCTCCTTTATCATATGATATGTAGCTTGTTAATTTTGTTCTCAAAATGTAAATCTCTTTCTAAGCAGGTTTTTTGTTTTCAGTAAACATAGCAACAAACTGTTCTATTTATCTTCTTTTCTTATAAAGCTAACTATATCTGATTCTTTCCTATGATACAAGTTAAGAAGGAAATTAGAATCAAAACACTAGTTAAGCATTTTCTTAGTTAAATTTAATATTTAAACATGTTTCTTTTTGATTTATTACAGTATGGGATTATGACGCATTAACAAATGTGAAATAATGAAAAGTATTTCGTAATTTTAAGAATTTTGATAGAAAAAAAATTATTCCTAAAATGTAGTTTCTATCCGATTTCTCATAATGATTGATTGTTTTAAACTTTATCACGCATATAGCTTGACAATAGATAGAAATCGATTTTATAAATATTTCACTGCATTTTTCTTTTCAAAAATTTAATAATAATATATTTTGTGATATTCATAATTTTATAGTTGAATTCATGAGTCAATTGAAACTAGACCACCATGGAAAACCTGGAAGCATTGAACGGCCGTTTCGTAGAGTTCAACCGGCTCTGCTGTGAGATAGTAACTCACTGAAGACAATGTTGGATGTTGGCTCAATTTCGTGGATTTGTTGAAGTTAGACATTAACACCACTGGATGCCCGCTCAGTGGTCTAGAAATTAAGCGTTCGCGCGCGAGACTGATAGCTCCTGGGTTCGAATCTTACGGTGCGGGATAGCGGATGCGCACTGCTGAGGAGTCCCACACTAGGACGAAACGGCCTTCCAGTGCTACCAGGTTTTCCATGATGATCTAGCTCTAAATGATTCATGAATCCAATTATAAAACTACTTAAGTCTCTTCAAAATCCTCTTCTGATAATATTTGTCATTGCTTAAATAAGATATTTTGAATAAATGAAAAAAACAAAACAGTTCCAGAGTTTTATTTGGTTTAAATACTTCAGTTTATTTATATTTCTCTGTTGAATTTCTCTGTTAAAAATTTCATTTGTCTAAATGAATTAATCTTATAGTTTTTTTCAAATTGTCTATGACATTATATACACTAAGTTTAACCTTACATCTTTTATCTGATAATACTTATGCTACTTTGGATATTATTTGTATTTTAATTCAATCTGGGAAATTTGTTCATCAGTTTGTTGCTGTTGTTAGTTGTGATTGATAACAATGACAAAACCTAAAATCTCATATTGAGAAACAATTTTTCTTCATTACAGATTGATGTTGATTTCAGAAAACTGTACAATATTAGACAATTTTTCTGATCTAATTCCGATCTTAGTATTGTACGCTGAAAACCCTATATGAGAAGAAGCCAAATACTTATGCTGATTCAGATACGTTGAAGGCATTGAACGGGAATATAATGGTCTATAGTCAAACGTGAATTTAACTCACGGCATAGTGATTAACATTTATCATTAAAATGATAACTGCCGTTGTTTTGTTGATTAACGGCCTTCACAATATGTCACCCATACATCCTCAATTTTTATATGAAAATGAATCGTGGTTGTCCAGTTCTGAAATTCTTAACCAGAACAAAACAGGTTCTCAACACTTCCTAACTTACTATAATTCTGAAGCTAATTAATAATTAAAAATCACTTATCAATCACTTAAATACCCATTAACGTTATTAAGATAATTGCATACTTATGAATTGGCTCACTTGGTCACTCACAGTTCTGTGAAATATCAACTACACACGTGACAGGAAAAGTTTGTATATACTAGGTTTTAATTACATGAGCTTTTTGATATTGTTAAACGTTTAATGACAGGATTATTATGACATTTAACAAACCTTATCATAAAGACCCAAACAACTGGAAGTTTCCAATCATCGATTCCAAAATCATTAACAATGACCCTTCTGTATTTCATTGGACCATAAATTATTATTAGACCAGCCATAGATAAACCGGATAACATAAGTGCGAAACCCCAAACATTGTCCTACAAAATATCATTAATATTTAAAGACGTGTGCATGATATTATTGCTAACAGTATTAAAAAGTTAATCATAGTCGACTATTATAAAAGTGCTTCTGAAGCGAAATTTAAATTATTATTTACCACTCGATATCTACGTCACTGCAACAGAGTTAGGAGCAAGTTGGATGTAATTTTTAATAATGTTATACATTAGTAACATATTTTAGTTTGTTTTATAATCTTCTCAACCACAGTTCTAACATACCACTGAGGTAGACTGTAGTTTGTGTTATTAACAAATGTTCAATCATATTAGCCAGAAAAATTTGTGACTTATTTGAAGACTTGTATTTCTGTTAAGCACGCCACATCTAACAGTAGTGTTGCTCACTTTGTCGTCTCACAAGTTAGACAGGACGTAATTTAAAGATGTTTTTACTACTTAATACTTTTCAAAAACTTATTGCGATTTGAAATTAAACCTAATCCTCTCCAAATTTCGCCACAACGATCATCTTCCAGTCTTGCCATTGTTAAGAACGCTATTATTTTCATACCACTTTCAAAGTTATTGAAAACGTATTTATATATAAAGTGTATTAGCCTATTTTTCTTATTTCATGTATTCAATAAATCGTCTTTTCAGTAAATGAGAATTATACTAGCTGATGGCTCAGGAAGAGAATAGGGATTTATCATTGCTTACTGATTAAAACGTTTAGGTTTATAATATTTCAAACATTATGGGAAAGTATCAAATAACTGCTTGATACATCTGATTTAATTTAATAAAAAGGGAATAAGTTGTTTTGTCAACAACGAGATCTAACGATACGACAGTTAGTCAGAAACTAGTATTTTTTATTTTGCAACCCGAACGTTTTTGAGATAAATATTCAAGTACCAGATTTTATCGACATCGTTACTTAGTACATTCATGCTCTATAACTACTAATTTAGCTGGGTTTGTTGGTGGAAGACCAACACTTTGGAAGGAAACAAAATTTACTTTCAAGAGCACTGATTTAAACAAAAGAATAAAAACTGTTCATGGTTTTTGTGCCAATGAAAGTTATCAGAGTGAAGTGAAAGACATTTTTATAATTCATTATCTGATGATCGCCGTAAGACTTAGCCGACATGCCCACAACCTGACTTGAAATGCATTTAATCTAAACTTGTCGTTCTGGAACTCAATTTGGAAACCGTAAGTTAAATTAAATTTTATATTGGTTAGCATATACCGCGCTGGACTCTTGAAGTGTTCTGCCTGAGTCATACTTGATTTTTATCTAAGTCAATTGACTCATAACTCTTAGCTATTAGCTTGAAGCACCTCTTGTGTAGAAGAAAAAGAAAGATGATTTCATCTAAAATCTGCAGATCAGCTCCACTTATTATCTGTTAATATCATGCAGTCCCCGAAAACTCTAGAATAATATTCATAATCTAACAAATCCTACTGCATAAAAGTGGAGCTCAGGAGAAATCTTACTGCTACTAGGTACATACTGTATTTGTTGAAAATATTAAGTATTTACAGAAACGGATGCGTATCTTAAATAGCTAACTACTGGAAACCGTCCGAAAAACACATAATATATGAACATTTATTTGAGTGATAAGCATATTACCGTAATTACAAGAACAAACACAAAATCACGAGAGGAAAATGTTTTTTAAAAAGCTAAAACAATAACTGAATATAAAACTAACCTGATTTGTAAGAACATTTATACTAATTGCAGAAGGCATACCAAATACAAGAGTGAGGAATAAACCAGCAAATGCAGCTTGTCTATGACTTACTATAATAAAAATAAAAAGTTATAGTACGAATGTTTTCTCTAAATCTATAGACATTAATCAAAGAACAGTTAGAGACAATTCGTAAGTAAATTATGGTATATAACGTTTATAAATTTAACTGATCAGGAGAAATTTTTTTAAATAGACCATTTAGCTCTCAAGTAAACAAATAGCTTTCTTTGCTAAACAGTTGATAAATGAAGGAAATGAACTTTACTAATTTGGTGATTTGAATGATTAATTGAGAGAGAGAATATAAGACCGATTTATAAAGTAGATTTTATTTATAAGAAACAATTATTTATTCTCTATCTTTAAACGGTTTTTACGGAAATAACTAATCACTAGATTAATGGAAATTTCATTTTCTCTGAAATTTATTTTCACCAATGACTAAGGTTATTGGGGAGTCATTGAGAAATTAGAAAACACTAGAAAGGGGTGTCATAATAGTATTAAACTTTTCAGCAGTGCACCATCCTAGACTCGATATAGTATATGTACACAGTATTGACAGTTTCGAAACCATGTCAAAATAATTATCCAGTAATCCAGTTATATAGGAATCATCAGCTTGTAACGAATTTTGGCAAAAATCAGTTTCACTCTTGAAGAGAAACTCAGAAATCTTTTAAAATTAGAACCTCTGTTACAGCGGAAGACGTTAACATCGAGCTAGTTCGGTTGTGATTGACCCTCTGAAGAACACCTTCTTATCAATTAATTTTAGTGGTCCAAAATCTGACTTCACTAAATAATCACTGATTAGTATTAGGAAAATGTTTTTAGTCTTTAGTGATGATTAGATTATATCAACTATGTAGATTTACAGTGTTTATCATGATTCACTATGCTTATCATCTTTAGGATTGGAGTTACGTCGCTTTATTTATACGAATCTAATTATGACTATGTGGTCATGATTTTTACCTGATTATGGTAAGGGTATAATCTGAAATATTCAGATGAGATAACAAAATGAAGGAGTTTTTCAAACTTACAGCCCAAGTCCTTAGCTGTTACAACTGTTAGTTGAACATGACCAATCAATGAAGTAATCCCCGCGAAGGAGAGACATAAGAAGAACAATGAACAGAGAACTCTTCCCAGACCACCAACATAGGCGAATAGGACAGGGATCCTTTAATAAATAAATAATTTGTATATTTAGTAACGTTATAATGCCTAGTATTATTAGTGTTGTTGGAGTTAAATTTTGAAATTAATAAAATTGTTTGACACTGATTAACAAACTAAGTATATTTAAAACCGATGTTTTGTATAATGTGCAATTGAATTGCTGAAAAAGCAGAAACACAATCAAAGATAAAACTAAACTGATAGCTCAATATGTATACAAAAATAATCGTGTATTCATTACCAGGTAAATGTGAGACCTGTGCTACCAGGTCCATTTGATTGCATTATTTTCAAGATGCCAGAACGTGTTAATGTTGGTGACGTTTGTATTAAAGTTGAGAAGACAGTTGAGAAAATTGTTAGTGCACAGAGTAAACTGGAAACATTTGGTGAAAAAATAGAATCAATAATTAAAGCAACAGTCTTCAGAAATTAGTAAAAAAATTCAAGTTAAATGTAATGTTTACCGTTTAATAGAGTTAGTCAACAAACATTTATACAAATTACATTGAAGAAAATAAATAAAAAGCTTATCTTACAGAGTAATAGATTGATATAATCATAGTCATATTTAAGAAGATAATATGTATTTTTAGCAAATATTCATGCAAGATGTGACTGACATAAGCTGCTCCAATTCAAAGGTATATAAAAGATCAATAATTACAATCAGTAGTTAAGTATTTTAAAACCATATCTTCTCTGTAGGCAGTGGAAATAATATTGAATGCTCCATCATTAATAGTTAGTCTGGTAAATAGCTTAGTAAAAAGTGCATGAATAAATCTACGAAAGTTTTACAATTTATAAATTGTTACCTTAATTAGATCACACTTAAATTTCAACTTGTCATCAACTTACTATAAATGCTAAACGGTACTTCTATAAACTGTTTGGTTTACGAAGGACAGAAATCAAATTTATTCCAAAAATAAGTTGACTATGATACATGGTAGTACAACTTTAAGATAAAGTCTTCAAAATTCCTTCGGTATTATTGATATGACTGTTTGATTATAAATATTGTACACAGATTAGAATGAACTAAACTAATTCATCATGTAAATAATTTGATATCCTAATTTATCATTAAAATGAGAAATTTAACTTTAGCTTACATTTCTCATTCTAATTAAACTACTCTATCATGTTATCCTGTTAAAAATCTAATATTTCAGATAAATCAATCTCAATAACACACTCTAACTAATAAAGAACATAATGGAAAGAAAAACCCAAACTAATACTAATAGTTTTAATGTGTAACTATCCATTTCCATAACAATTCTCATATATCAGGTCATAGAGATTAGATTTCATTAAAAAAACAAACGGTAATTCACTGCCTTTCATATAGATTTAATCAACTTGCATGTAATTGAAACTTCAAAATATATAACTATATTACATCATATATATACATGGTAATTAGATAAATAAAAATGTATTATTATCAATAATAATAATAATAATAATAAAAATAACAATAAAGCACACAAATTCCCCATATGTTACTTTTATTAGGAAACAACTAATTTATTATAAATGTCAATCTTATTTCTAAATTTAATTAATGCACATTATTTAATAATTTTTCTTTTGAAAAAAAAGGAATTGTAATAGAAAGTAGAATAATGCAGTTGAAAGTTTTGGTTTTTGCTGTATATTGAGTTTGATGATGATGATGATGAAGATGGTGTTTTATTTTTTGAATGATCTGAAAAGAAATCAATCTATGGAAGGTTTTTTTTCTTTTCTTGATGGAAATTCTATGTATGTTGTAGTTTATTTGAGATGTTTTTTTGTAATGAAAAACTGCTGTTGAAGGCATCGTTCTAACATTTCTGATGTAGTACTGTGATTATTATTTTAAACTAACTATTGATAAGGTACTAATCTAATGCTATTTATATTAGATTGTAAACCTAACGATTCTTTTTTATTCATATTGGTGGTCTAACCTAGATGTTGAAGTGAACTAAGGTGAATTTGTGTAATAAGCGAAAATTGATTTAATGGAATAGTATAGTATTGTATTCACTCCAAAACGGAGTGAAACTTACGGCATCATAGTGATGTTATTATTATTTTTATTGGAAGACTAAATATGGTGCACGGATACGTGGAGAACCATGCAGATAACAACCAGAATAACTTCACTGGCTGATTGAACTAGGAGAAGGAGGAGGAACAGGATGCAACAACAACAACAACATAGCGTATAGAGATGAATCCAAATAAAGGAAACACTAACTGATTGAATGATAAAGTATCAAACGATTATATGATTATAATAATTGCAATGATAAACAAATCTGTTTGTCAATCAATTCGATCATATACCTTATTATTCTTCTTCATATAATATAGAAATCATTTTCAATCACCATTTAATCATTGTTTGCTGCATTATCCACCTGTTCAGTGTATTCATTAAGTTTATCTTCAATCCTGATTTATTTTTGCATCAGTGTTCTACTTAATCCCTACTAGTTAGGTATTTATCTCATAAATATAAGCAATGTAATTTAACAATACTTCTCACTTGACCATTTTATTTCCAAGTTATGACTGTTATCTTTTAACTACTTCAAAATATTGTAATTACTGCTAAATAAGTGACTATCATCGCTGTAGTAACTTAGTTTTTCTTACAGTCTAGAGAACACTAGTACAGTTCTATGTAGAATTGGTGTCTGTTAGTTTGGTTGATTTCTTGTTTTTTTCTTATAAATAGTTCGTATTTCACAAATTCGTGTTCGTTGAATTATGTTGTTCCGTTTCCATATTCTAAATCAATATAAAGTATCAGTTACTCCTTTCTAATATACTCAAGCTTAAAAGAAATACAATGAAGGATATTATATGTTTATGTTTTTAAATCTCTCTTGAGTGATGATTGGTCACAAATGAAATATTTGAAAATAACAAAAGGTAAAAATGTTCCAGTCATTTTGATTTGTTACTGTTGTCCTTTGGCACTTTACATGTCTGTCCACATTACGGTATCATTGTCAATCTTTCCTTCCCTCTTCTTCATGAACCATTGCTTTGTTTATTACCAAAATAGGTACGTGATACAGACAAGAACTTCATTTAAATTAATTGATAACTGCAATAACAATAACTCAAATAACGAATGAATTACGTAATGGATTTTTAGAAATCTTTCTTTGTTTTTCTCAATCTGAACTGAGTAGTAAGAGTGTTAACATTCGAAGATAGTCACATGGAATTGATGCTCACAATTATGACGAACTTTTTATCAGTTAATTGTTTCTGTTGTCCTCTTTAACATTTTTATCAGCATTTAGCACTTACAAGTTGTTAACTGTTATTCTTATTCAACCCCTCAGTATGGTTGACCTGTAACTATCCAAATGCCTATATTTTATTGTTTTCTACCTTAAAATTGAAGTAACTAAATCACTGTGTTCACAGCCATAGCCTTATGTGATTATAAAATCAAAACTAAATGCCTCACCTGACCATATTGTTACATAATGGAATCATGGTACCGAGGCGTACAGCACCATTTTTCCGACTAAAATATGATGAATATGAAATGAATAAAGCCATAGCTGCGCCAGTATCGAATGCATTTTGACTAGCAGCAGCAACCCATAAACTAGGAGTAAACATACTACCTATAAAAATAAAAAAATAAACAAAATCACTATATAAATTTCATTTACTAATTTGACGTGACCTGTTTTATGAAAACAATAGTTACAATAACATAAGTATGCTATATATTTTATTGAGCTAATGTTCTAGAAAATGAACAGTCATAATAAGGAAATTGTACTGAGAGATTGATAGATGAACATTCTATTTTTTACTAAAATTTAAACCAGTTCACTGGGTTTATGTAGCTAACTGCTCATTTTTCTCCTTTGTTTAGATGACCAATTCATGAAAAATGTAGCCTGTATTTTATAAAAATGCACTGATTATTTTAATCGTTCTATAAATTTTTAAAGTACGCCACTTCTCTATACTCAACAACAACAACAACAACAACAGAAATGACTGAAAGTGATAATAAAATATAGTGTAAATATTTATTTATTTTTTATGCATTGCCTCCTGATTATTTCAACATTTAAAGCAATTAGTCCCTTTAATAAATTTCGATAGGACAATGTGAAAACGGAGTTGATTTGGAAAATGTGATGTAACTGCTCTATACATTTAATTTAATTGACCTTTATTAATTTTCATATAATAGGCCCTGACAAGTTATATATGTGACTAGATTGTTCAAAATGTATAGAGCGAATACATCAAATTTTTCAGATCAACTCCATCTTCTCATTGTTCTATCGATATTTCAACATTGTTTTGAATTTTACTAATTTTTATTTTGTTTGTGTATTATTGTCAAATATGACACCTTGAACCAATGCAATTCTATGCAATATTTCATCATAGCTTATATTATATTCTAATTGAATGTAATGTATTGACTTTGACAATGTATTAGCCATATTAGTTTATCTATCAATATGCTTAAAAGAACATGTTGATGATTTTTAAAATACCTAACATTTTAACTTACAGTTTGTTTTTAGATTTAAAGGATACCATACTAAATAAACTAATGGTTTTACAGAAAATTTGTTTGATGTATATGGTAATATTGTGGTGCGTGCTACTTATATTGATATAAGTAGTACATGACGCGAGTCAGGAATGTAATATCCGGCAGCAGAAGATGGGGAAGATCAGGAAAGGAAGAGCGGGAGTAGAAAATATGGGTTTTCTATTTTACCAAGTAACTCCGTAATTTTGTGCTAAATATAATTCGATTGTCTCCAACCGTGTTCTGTTCACTACAATATAACATATATTCAATGATAGAAGATATCGATAAGAAATTAGCTATTTTTTTCTTTGAAAGACTGTTTTTTTTTCTTCTTGAAAGAATCCTAATTTCGAGAAGTATTTTGTTCATTCACCAAAATTCATGTGATTTATTTTGAATTGCTATTGAATGTATGATTAGAAGTGATTGTTATACTTTAAATTATAAAAGTTCGTTAATAATGCCAAAAATATAGTTTAACATGATTTTATGTTAAACAATTGCGTATAAATTTAACATTTTGCTATTAATAAGTTAAGTAAAAGGGATTTTGTTGAAAACTAAATAAAGTTGATGGTGTAAAATGAGTAAACTTCATCTTAAATGGTAAATCATATCATATTCAATATAATCTCTAAAAGAATCTAATTACAAGTTTGGGTATTTTTACACAGTGTACAGGAGTCCAATCTTAGATTAAAGCACTAGTTTAGTACAAAATTATTTCAAATGATTTTCTAAGTGACACTAGTCTATGACGAAAATCCCAAACGAAAAGTATAATGTATCAAACACTGATTTTCATAAAATATATTTTGAAACTAACCCCAGTATGGAGTAAATAAAAATGTAATACCAACTTCTGAATATTTTCTTGTTAATGACCATCCGAATGTGAAAACTAATATACCTAATAACATAGGTACTAATACCATATTGGCTTTTTCAATCCATTTTATACCACCAAATATACATCCACCAACAATAACAACAGCTAATGTATGGGTTAATGCAGGCCAGTAAGATTCCTGTATAAAAGAAAAAGTAGAAAGGGAAAAATAAAAAAGTCTTTGTATGAATAAACAAAGAAATAATCATTATTAACTTTGTTGTTGACAATCTGTATATTATTAATCATGTGAATAAACTTTTCACTATTGATTACTTTTCACCCATCTTAACAACCAATTTAGATTAAGATGAAATATTTAGCTATTTTAATAACATTCGTTTAACTGAAAAGTTAAATATTATATGGGGGAAAGTGTAGATCTATCATACCACATAAAACAGCGAAACAGTGTAGATTATGGATAAGTGTATCAGTTGTCATTAATTCTTTTATAAATGACTTCAGTCATCCACTATATGGCACCCCATGAAGTCTCTTGTATTCACAGTTGTAGACAACACTAATTTCACTGAAACAAAAACACCAAGAAAGCAGCTTCATTAAACTTCAAAGTTTCTCGTTAGTGTATATTCTAAGCATTTCCTGTGATTAAACACCCTGATAAGTTATCAGCAGCAAATTAAACTGTTTCACAGTTAACATCATGAGCTGGTTTTAATTAAATGACCACTGTAAACGAAGAATCAGTTAGCAGATGTTTCGTCCTAGGGTTGAACCCTTCGTCAGTAGGCGTCCACGATCCCACGTTCTGATGACAAGCCGAGACTAGTGGTGTTCACTCATGTCGTTTGTGAACCAGTACATTGGGAGATAGTTGAGATATGAAAAATCGATTAAAGTTGAACATGTAAAACATTGGATACGAGCTCCGTGGTCTAGAGATACAATTTCTTAGTTTTCGATTCCTGATGGCTATCTAGTGCATCTTGGTTATCACTGCATTTTTCAACTAAATATCATTTCATGATGTTAGCTATGCAATTTTAAAAATCACAAATTCCCTTTGTAACTAATCCATTTGTTAAAATTCAATTCAGTACTGATGGTGAATAGGTTTACTGTGTACTGTATAATGAAAATCCCACTTTAAACTGGACATATCGCTTGCAAAATGTTACTAAGTAAGGTGATAAGGCGAATAATTCAACTAAAAGACGAAGCAATTTGAAGTTGTTTAAGTCATATCAAGACCTTAAGATTGTGTTTCCAAGCCTGTCTGAGGTTCTGCGTACAAGCAGCAGACTGGTCTATATTTGGTACAAAATACTTACTTGACTCTTTATGGTTGGTAATGGTTCTTAAGTGATTTTCAATTTGTGATGTAAACTAAGTCTAAACTTTTATAAATCAGTAGATTAACAGATGATTTCATTGTTTCTGAGTAAAATGCTTCGATTTACATCAAAAATCACGTATTATCATCATTATTACCCAATATTACAAAAATACTGAATAAATAATTTTAAGAAGTTATGATGAAAATACTTACCTGTGCGAACTCATTGAAAATTTTAATACTTGATTCTACATCTCTCGGTAAACTTGACAATGCACAAGATTTATAGAAATAATATAAACACCAACCAACAATGACTGAAAAGTAAGCACTAAAATTTAAAATGAAATAAAATACTTTAGTGAGCATGGGCTCAAATTATTACATAAGAGTAATAAGCTAAAACTAACATTTAACATGAAAGCTATATATATATATATGAATAATAACAGAGCAATACAATTACTGAATATTTGCCTCATTCATTATTAAGTTCATCATTACTGTCCAATCAAGTGTGCTATTATGGACATTTAAACGCTGTGTAGATTACAGATAATTCTTTCGATTGTTTAGAGTAAATACAACTAGAGTAGTAGTAAACTAATTCCATTATGGATAACACAATTTATTTGTTAACTATTTCTGAACATGAAAACTAGTCTGTTTTGTATTAGATTGATAAATATACATATCGATGATACGAGTCGACTGAACATTGATAATGTTACTTTGGGTGAACTCAGAGTATTTAGCTGTAAAGTTAGTAAAATATCATTTACTTATGAGAAACAATTGTCCTACAGATCACAAGCTGTAGTTCAAATTTGTAACATCAGATTATTTTATATTTATAATTTGAATACACACATATACAATCCTCATTTTGATAGCTTTTGAAACTTCCAACTAAATGTAACTGAAAGTAAAATTGTGACATGAATAAAAGAAAATAAAACTACCTGTATCCAGTTTTCACTACCTGACTTTTGTTCATTTAAGATGCAGTAGTAGGGAAAGATTCATTTCTTTGAAATTCGACGACTTAGAGTATTTTTGTTGTGTAGAAATTTACTCAGAATTCTACTTACGTGATCATATAAGTTACAGCAACAATCCATCCTCCCAACCATACTAATTTATTGCCCAAAAATCTGTGAAATGCACCAAGTGGAGATGTTCGAGTAAATCGACCCAGTGTATATTCAACAATACTTAATGGTAGAGACCAAACAAATAATGACATTGCCCAAGCAATGAGAAATGTTAAACTTCCTAAAATGATTAGAAAACCAGTAACATATCCAGTAATCACTAGTGAAACATTTTAGTTGAGTAATATTTCAATGGTACCTTATAATCGAATTGTCAAATATATTTACTTTTTTCTAATAAATTTATTTACCAACTACATAAACAATAACTTCAATTTTCAACATAACCTTAATTGATAATTAGGTCATTGACCTCACTTTTTTCAAGTTAGTTATCATGCTCATATGTACACCTCCATAATCTCAATAATTAATAGAAAAAAAACGTGATACGAATGTTATGAAAAAAAACGTAAGCATGAATTCACTTTCATAAATGATTTGCTAACTTTAGTGTACCATTATCAATGAAATCAGTAAGTGTTTATTTCGAATTATTTGGTTTATACTAAAGTTAAAGTGAGCATTCCCATTGAATCAATTTTATCTAAACTGTTCTTTCTTGCCTGATATTAAATAGACATCATTCTGTATATGGAAGAACAAATGTTAGTGAGCGAAATTTGTTTTATGCAACAGTAATACATTCTCTGAAAAAACGATCAAGTGCAGTTTAAAGCAATAAACTTCAAAAATAAAAATTCACCAGAATATAACCTTTAGATTGAACGATAGTCGTTAATGTATCAGATAATGAGATCGGGCGTACTATATGCCAATGTGCCATAAATTAATTTATTGACACTGTCATTCACCTTATGGATAATGTAATTAATTCTGATGGAACCAACAGTTGGTCAGATACTTTAGTTTTACTTCAGTAAAATGTTGGTGTAAAATAATACCATGTCTATATATTTTATATAGAAGCTACTTACCCTACATGCTATTTAACTAGCTAACTTTTATCATCATAACAAAATATTTTAACGGGTTCTAGATATACTATATGTTTAGTAAACTTCTTAAAACTAGACAAATCTATGGTGTCTAACACCAACAAGGTAAATCAAAGTACTGATTTTTATGATAAATTGTTTTAGTCTCCAATCAGTTATAGCCAATGGTACTCTCTGTGTAGGATTTTACAGTCAAATGATGTAATATTTAAAAAAACCTTGGTTATATGTATTTAAAAGTATCAACATAGAAAACTAAAAACAACAACTGACCTTGAGAATAACTGGCTGTGGCAATAATACGTGGAAATCGCCATATATTTCCTGTTCCTATGACACAACCCAAACAAGAAAGCAACACTCCTATTGAAGAATTAAATGTGGATAATTCAGATCTTTGTGCATCTTTAGAATGTGTTTTCAAATCTTGTTCAGACGATGGTAACTGATTAAAATAGTAAATTTTAAATAGAATAAAATTTTTTAATGAGTACACTATAATGCTGAACTTAATGTCACATCATTTAACATAAAATTTATTTAGTGTAATAGTACATTGATGGTTTAATGAAAATGAACATTGAAGTGAAATTTAAATCATAAGTCCTTATGAAAATAATTTATTTACAAATGAAAATATTTATATTTACCTTATCAATAGATTCATGAATTTTCCCTGAACCACATTCCACAAGATCCATATCTGACTTAAATGTTGGGTCATTTAAATCAACCGATAAAGTTTTCCAAAATAAGACTCCATTTTTACATAGTATTCCACCCATTGGTGGGACGATTATACGGCTTTTTTAATAAAAATTATGAACAGCTTGTGTTCACAAATCTGATTAAAGATGATTATATAGGTTTTAGATGATTAGTTTGGTCACGATCTGCGGTTTATAAATGGACTTCTTATTTGTCAAAAGAATTACAACCAGTCACATAAACACACATATGGCCATAACAAAATAATTCACCAATGAAATTCATTGTTGAAGGTCATAGTTGAAAATGTTGATCGTTAACAGACATGCGTAATATTTGAATGTCAGGAATTCAAAAAAAACCCAACTTTTAGCAGTAATATGTTTTTGTTTATTTTGTTAGACAGGAACAATCTCCCAGGCTAAGTGCTATAACAATTATCCAGATTAATTGATTTAATTGAATGGTTTAAATGGAGATTTAGGAAGATAAAGAAGATTTTTAAGTGTGAAGGTGGAAAGCGATTTAAATTGACTTTTCTAAAATGTCCCTGAATATTCAACTTGTTAATACAAGTGTTCATAATAAATTGTTACCTACTTAAGTTAAAATTTTATTGAACTTATACATTTGAAAGCCTTAACAATGAATAATTTGACCAGCCATCGAAAATATTAAACCAGTGAAAACTTAGACAATTTAGCTCACAGTGTTTTATTAATCGTTTAGAAATAAATTAAAAATATTATAGGAATGACTTACTTTTATCTTATGAAGATCTTAACTGAAATTGGTGTCGGTTTCTTCCTTAACAGTTCAAAACTTCTTTCAACTTTGCAAGAATAAACAAGTAAAATGTTTTTTTTTTATGAAATGCTTGTTGATAAACTTAATGTGAATATTCTTATATTAAACAAATCGACGGGACATCACAAACAGAATGGACAGCATAAGATAATCATATATGCTAGTTATCGTGCTGTGATATGAAAACTAAGGCCCAATCAAGTCTAGGTCGATCTCTGCGTTGATGATAACGTAATAACTGGTTTCATTTTTCAAAAGTGCATTTGATGTTACACTTTATTATGAGTATTAGATGGTAATATGTAATAAATATACCATTTTCCTCAACCAGTTACATACAAAATATCATTGAGAGTTATACTTGATTACGATAGGCTCATCTTTGAAAAATGCTTTCAACATAAAAATTACCTTTAAAAGATATCACTCCAGGCAACTTCCTCAGCACGCGTTATCAATGGTAATTAGACCGGTTAAATCTGTATTCTGCAACTACTTGAATCATCAATAAACATTATTGTGTTAGATTAATATAATGAGAATGGGCCGTTTTTCATATCACTGAATAAAATTTTTCGACATAGTTACCCAATAGTTTAAAGGATGTGCTAGAGGAAAGAAAATTAGATTGAAAAGTGCCTGTCAGGACTGATGTAATGATAAAAACGACAGAATCCTTCGATTGAGAGGTAAAAAATGCATGTAGTTATCGTCAGTTTGGGAATATGTCATTTGATAATATAAAATAAATTGTACACACTTAACAAGGTATGTGTTTACGCTCTGGTCGTTGGAATGTATATTCAAGGCTATTGTTACAAACATTAGAGAAATTTTTGAACTTGTTTACTGAAGAATTAAAAGTTACTAGTGGCATGAAAATACTGATTTGCAGCTTTGATTTCGCAATAACTAAAAACTGCGTAATAAAAAACCTCATAATATTTTAATCAAGTTCTTCGAACATCCAAATAATCGAACTCAGAATACATTAGCATACAATTTCATATAACATAGAAAGAAATGGCGAACAGCATAAATATTTGGTAAAACAATACAACGATTAGTTGTGGTTATGTATTAACTATCTAAAATTTGATTAAATTACGAAACGTGATTCATTACTTGATTGAATGCAATATATAGGTCAGCACAAGTTTTGGTGTTAAGAAACCACGTTGGGTTTCTTGATCACTTCGTTGATAAGTTTTAAAAAAGTTGACATTATTTGAAACCAGGTCATTTCAGAGCACTGTAGATAATTTCTAAGTATCATATGTTCAATTACGTATTAAATAATATTGATTTCAGATTCTTTAAAGTTTGCAACCTCTTTATAAAGCATAATAAATAAGACTGTGATCTTTGAATGAGTAGAACAATCTCAAAAATCTTGTAATTAATTGAACAATTACAGCAAACGCACCAATATAGTTGCATAAGTGAACTGCAATTTCATTGAAAATCAGTTTGTCTCAAACAACGATTTAAAGATTCAGACCACTAATATTATAGTGTAATCAATTTTGCACGATAAGAAACATTAAGGCTTTGTTTGTTGTAATTTACGTGTTACACTTTCCAGAAAATAGTTATTCTATAAAGTAAAACGAGTTTTTATCAATAGTGTACGTTACCCATCACTTTCAACATAATATCTTACGATGCAGATTTATTATACAGACTAACTATAAGACATTGAAGTGACTATAAAATATCAACACGCCTGAGGACTAGATTGGTTTGGGATACTACTGTCAGTATGAATATGATTTCGGTTGCGATTAATCATAAAGCGTATTTCCTGTTAATGAAGAAGACCATAAATAATGTGACATTTATTAATAGATTTAAACACATCACTAGTGTATACGGCTTAAAAAAGAACGTTAGCTTACACAACTAGAGACAATTCAACTTGAAACATAGATGTTTGTGGTCCATATTGATGTCCACAGTTGTGATAGATGTATTATTCATCGACAATAAGTTGTTCCACAATCCATGATCAGCTTACATGAATTCAGGTTGGGCCTTTATATTTGTATGTGCATCGTAGAAAGCTAACTGGTGTTTTAAGTACAAGAAAAAAGGAACAACACCTTATCATCCTTTTAGTCAGACAGTTAAATAAATAAACCAAATGAGCTCTCAAACACTATGAGAAGCGATTTTCAAACAAGAGATCATAGAAAGAGGCTTTTGCCTAAAAAATGTTCTACTATCATGGTGTTGCAGCGTTCATGTACTAACATGACATAGCTAATGAATTATGGGGAATATAAATGTACTTTTTTACACAACCGGTAAATAAAGAATTTCTCTTAGATTCAATAATCTTGCTAGTCTACATCCCAGAAATTTATATAGATATGCCCATATACTTCGGAACAGCATAAAGAGTAGAAACAGGATATTGATGAAATACTACTGCCTGGAAAAATAATATGACTGAAGATCGAATAGTAGATAAATTACATCAAAAACCAATTGATCCATATAGTAAGTAGCAAGATAATTGGAAAAATTCAAATATGAAGGAGAAAAAACAAACGACTGAAGTTTGTCTATAGTAGTTCATTGTAGTATTTTTAAATGTGTTTTTTTACTCAAATTCAATTTATCTGTGCACAATATTTTTAATTGCTCTAATCTATGAATACTTTATTAAAAAAAGTTTCTGTACAATTTCTATGCAAATCGAAATTAGAAAGAAATGAACCGATTTGAGCTTGTTTTCCTATATTTAATAGCTCATACGGTAACAATAATATTTTTTTTCTTTATAACTTTGGAATTGATTTTTCTAATAATAAGGCTTGATTTCAACGGTTTTTTTCTCTGTTGATTTAATGAATGAGGAATGTGTTGAAATTAATGCTTCATAGTGCATGAACTATTGTATTACTGAATACATTAAGCAAGTTGATAAATGATTTTCTCATGTTTAAAATCATTTTAGTTTTACGATTTGGTTAAATTTTTAGTTTATCTAGATCCTATTGAATGTTATAATTTCAGTAGGCTTTCAACTATCTGATCAAGTTCTATTTTATATTAACTGTTTATTCTTATTATTTTAAAAAAACATGACTTAAATGTATTCAATCTTAACAACCTACTGATACTTTCTTGTTGATGACATTCAAAGTGGAATTTCGACCATTTTCTGTTGGAATATATTCTATATGGAGAGGATGTTTCAATAATTTTGGATTCTTACTGTCTGTTTTATAAATTTTCATTCTTTAACAAATAAGATGAATATGTTAGGATTTTGATCATTGGTTAAGAAAAGTAAAGTGGAGAGACATACAAACAGAAAAGATAATATTGAATTTATCAATAAACATTCACTTATTTAAGCTATTACTTAGAACTAAAATAGAGAAATGTAAGTTACATTAATATACTAAAGAAAAAATTAAGGGTGGATAATGTTTATCACAGTAGACTAGAAATCAATGTTAGAACAGACTAAATATCTGTCTGTAATTAGTTTATTTCATAAATTACAAGTTTTAACATACTACTTCTTGATGTTGAAGAGAAATTCATGAACCTACGATTAGATTCGAGGAATATGTTTGGAAAATCTTGTTTATTATATCATCATTTTAAGTGATTCTTTTTCATTTCATACATTATACTAAGATTTACCAGTGACATTATTAACTACATAGTTTAATTATGTAGTCATTTCACTGTAGTACAATCTGTTAACTAGTATTTCTGACCTCATATCTTTCTTTATAGGACTTTATTTTCAACATAAAAATACTTATCATTATAAACTAAGAGGTTTTTTTGTATTGTGTCTTCTTCTTTTTTTTATGATTTACTGTCATGTTTTGTATTCACCTTTATTGAATGAGGACTGTAGAACTGTATTTATAATAACATTAACAATAACATTAGGGAATTCACGGTTGATGAAAAGCTTCAAAATAAAATGAATTCATTTCATTCTGTATAGTTTAGCTCGTTTACATTTATTTAGAGAAATGACTAATCATGGATACAGTGGTATTTAAAACCATATTATATTGAAAAATACAACGTTCTACGAGATTAAAACATTAAATCTCATAGTAATATTGGTTCTATTCACATGGATACGTTTTATAACGAGCCCTTGAATGAATGAAAATATATGACTAATGATCCCGAATGATTTAGGTTGAAGTCGATTCCAATGAGAATAAAGAAGTTAAATTTTCTTATTTTTTCAATTTACAAGAATGTGATCACTTCACTTTATTTTACTAGTCCTGTAGAATGTATTTATTATCTGTTTACTTATCATTTTCTCTGATTATTCTGCTAACAAAGTATACTAGTACGAATCGTTGTAGTTATTTGTTAAATTTCCCATTTGTTATTCTATTCGTTTGATCAATTTATTGATAAAACTCACAAACGTTTTAGTCATAATATTATTTTCCATGCATTATTAGTAGGAACTGATGTCAACTTGGGAACTGTTGCAAACTAGGTAAGGTATGATTTCTGTTTTGTACTTTACTTGATTCAAGGAAATGTATTTAGAAATTTCACGTGATACACGTTACATCATATTGTTATCTTCAGTAATATTACTGGATATTTAGTGCTTCACTACACTTTATAATATTTTATAGACCTCAGTTCTTTATTTTGAGTTTGGAAAATATAGTCACTAGTAAGTATCAATCCGTCTTTTACTGAATATATTTGAATTAAATTCAGATATAAACCTTAACAAATTACCTATTCTTTCATTTCAATTCACAATCACAATCGCTCTTCTTACGCAATAAAAATCTAACCTTCAAAATAACTCACCAACATAACAATTTGTTTATATTGATTTGAATGTATCTATGTTTTGGCAAAGTGAATTTGGGATTGGTTGGGGTTAGGCATTAACACTGCCGGATACCGACTCAATGGTCTAGAGGTGAAGCGTTCGCGCGTAAAACCGAGGGCCCCGGGTTCGAATCCCGCAAGGCGGGATCTTGGATGTGCACTGCTGAGGAGTCCCATAGTAAAACGAAACGGTCATCCAGGTTTTTAATGATGGTCCGACATCAATCGGTTCATGATCTCAATCAAGAATTCGGGAAACACTGAAATTTGTAGGATCGAAAATACATTTTGTAAACAGTTATTTTATAAATCAAAATGAGCCTAACATATTTTATTTTCATTTATAACCAAGTAATATTGATTAAATGAAGTTAAGAATACTGTTTGTATTCATAACTGAACAGTCCTGTCTGGATTGATAAATGTATGATAGTTAAAAGTGTTACTTTTATGTCCCATGTGTCCACAAGATAATTTTACATATTGTAACGCAAACACCAAGATTTTATTTAAAATATTTGTCTAATACAAATTACATTCTTATCTGATCAAAGCAAAATGATTATATTTCATCTTCCTTAATGTTTCACACAACAATAACTTAATCCGTCCATTATGATTATATAATAAATAGCCGAATCACTAATTTAAAAAAAGACGATGGAAATGGATAGGACATACACTACGCAAATCGTCAAGCAACATCACGAGATAAGGCCTAACTTGGAATCCCGAAGGAAGGCGGAAAAGAGGAAGGCCAAAGAACACATTACGTCGGGAAATAAACTCAGATTTATAAAGTTTGAATAACAACTGGAGGGAGCTGGAAAGAATTGTCAAGGACAAGGTTGGATGGAGAATGCTAGTGAGCGGCCTATGTTCCTTCACGAGGAGTAAAAGGTGTAAGTAAGTAATTAATCACTAATTAAGGAATGACATTTATTTTCTTGCTAAAATATTAATAGATAAATTATTATAGACGATATCCTTTAAACAAAATTCATGTAAAACATGTTTGTCTTGATCATATTTAATATTCATTCAGCAATTTACAATAATTCTAAAACTATTACTAGACTTTAATATGCTATTAATCAGTCAGTTTATTAAACCTTATGAAAGATTTATAAAAGTAGGTTTCAATGACTCTGGTGATAGTATTTAAGCCCTGTCTAAAAATTTAGACATTCTGAATGAATTCATTGAGATTTTTGGAATAAATAATCAGAGAATTAAGTATAATTTTTATCATGAATGATGTAGATAC